TTTCTTTTGGCTGTGTGTCTTTTTAAATTTTAATTTTAATTTATTTTACACATAACATAAAACTTACCATCTTAATCTTTTCTTTTTGAGGAAGATTAGCCCAGAGCTAACATCTGCCACCAATCCTCCACTTTTTGCTGAGGAAGACTGGCCCTGAGCTAACATCCGTGCCCATCTTCCTCTACTTTATACATGGGATGCCTGCCACAGCATAGCTCACCAAGCAGTGCCATGTCCGCACCCAGAATCCGAACCAGTGAGCCCCGGGCCACCAAAGCAGAACATGCCGCTGTGCCACCAGGCTGGCCCCCCATCTTAACCATTTTTAAGTGTACATTTCAGTGGCATTAAGTGTATTCACATTGGTGTGCAGCCATCACCACCATCCATCTCCAGAATTCTTTTCATCTTGCAAAACTGAAACTCTGTCTCATTAAACACTAACTCCCCGTGCCCCTCCCCCAGCCCCTGGTGCCCTGCATCCTACTTTCTGTGTCTATGAATCTGACTCCTCTAGGGACCCCGTATAAGTGGAATCACACAGCATGGGTCTCTTTGTGACTGGCTTCTTTCACTTGGCATAATGTCCTCAAAGTTCATCCATGCTGTAGCATGTGTCAGAATTTCCTTCCTTTTGAAGGGGGAATAATATTCCATTGTGTGGCTATGCCACATTTTCCTTATCCATTCACATGTTGGTGGACAGTTAGATTGCTTCCATGTTTTAGCTGTTGTGAGCAATGCTGCCATGGACACACACATACAAATGTCTCTTCCAGTCCCTGCTTTCAGTTCCTTTGGGTACACACCCAGAAGTGGAATTGCTGGGTCAGGTGGCAATCCTATGTTTAATTTTTTGAGGAACCAACAAACTGTTTTCCACAGTGGCTGCACCATTTTACATTCCCACAACTAATGCACAACGGTTCCAACTTCTCCACATCCTCACCAACATTTATTACTTTCTGGGTTTGTTTTTTTTTAAGAATAGCCATCCCAATGGGTGTGATGGTATCTCATTGCAGTTTTGATTTGCCTTTCCCTAATGATTAGTAACGTTGAGCATCTTTTCATCTGCTTGTTGGCCATTTATATATTTTCTTTGGAGAAATGTCTGTTCAAGTTCTTTGCCCATTTTTGAATCACGTTGTTTGTTTTTTCGTTGTTGAGTTTTAGGAGTTGTATATATATACTGGATATTAATCCCTTATCAGATATATGATTTGTAAATATTTTCTCTTATTCTTTGGGTTGCCTTTTTACTCCGTCGACAGTATCTTTTGTGTGTGTGTGTGTGAGGAAGACTGGCCCTGAGCTAACATCTGTGCCCATCTTCCTCTACTTTATGTGAGATGCCTCCACAGCATGGCTTGACAAGTGGTGCCAGGTCTGCACCCAGGATCCGAACTTGTGAACTCTGGGCCCCTGAAGCCGAGCATGCAAACTTAACCACTACACCACCGGGCCAGCTCCCACTGATAGTATCTTTTGATGCACAAAAATGTTTACTTTTCATGAGGTCCAGTTTATCTATTTTTTAATTTGTTGCCTTTGCCTTTGGTGTCATATCCAGTAAATCATTGCCAAATCCAACGTTGTGAAGCTTTTCTGGGGCTGTATGTTTTTTTTTCTTGTTGATTTGTAAGGTTTCTTTATATGTTCTGAATGCTGATCCTTTGTTACATGTGTTGCACACACTTCCTTCTATCAAATCTGACACCATTATTTCATGAACCACTGAAAAGAGATTTAAAAAATACTGTCACTTAAACTACTGCATGCCATCAATTGTCACATGTATCCCAATTTCAGAAAAGTTAAAATGTGAAAAAAAAACCATGTATCTTGGAATTGATTAAATTCCCAATTTGTGGGGCCGGCCCAGTGGCACAGCAGTTAAGTTCACATGTTCTGCTTTGGCAGCTCAGGGTTCGCCGGTTCGGATCCCAGGTGCGGACATGGCACCGCTTGGGAAGCCATGCTGTGGTAGGCGTCCCACATGTAAAGTAGAGGAAGATGGGCACGGATGTTAGCTCAGGGCCAGTCTTCCTCAGCAAAAAGAGGAGGATTGGCAGCAGATGTTAGCTCAGGGCTAATCTTTCTCAAAAAAAAAAAAAAAATTCCCAATTTGACATGTGTGTCTTCAATTTCTTTGTGGTGTTTTTCCTTTAAAAAAATTTCCCAAATGTTTTATTTTTAAAGATTTCAAACCTACAGAGAAGTTGGAAGAATCCCCTAATGAATCCTCATACACCCTTGACCTATATTCATTTGACCATGTTTGCATTATTTTCATTTCCACACACACATGCATCACACTTTTTTTTGGCTGAGCCATTGAACATAGTTACAGCCATTGCCTCTAGTGTCTTTTGATGAAAGGAATTTGTTATTTTAGTTAATTTTTGTCTTGAAGAAATTCCCTTCGCTTCCCTACGATCAGAAAGACATTCTGTATTTTCTTCCACAATATTTCAACTTTTGCTGTTTACACAAACCCTCAGACTCCTGGGAGTTCACTTTTGTGTTATGAGGTAGGCATCACATTGAGTGTCTTCCATGGAATAACCTTGCTAAGCAATTGCATTTTTAGTGACTTGTGGAATCTTCTGGTTTCTTTCATCCTTTTCAATCCTTCTCCTTTAGTGTGGCTGGCATCGCTGGATTCTAGAACAGCACTGTGATAGGCTTCCTTTTCTTGTTTCCAACTTCTTACTTTGCTACTTAGCTCATTTTCAGCCTCTTCTATTCCTATTATAACATTTGAAGCTATAAATATTTTACTAAGTTCCACTTTTGTCTACCCCATAAGTTTTGACTTGTATTTTCATTTCCATTCATTTATAGGTATTTTAAAGTTTCTGTTGTGATTTCTTCTTTGACTTATGCATCAATATATGTGTTTTTAAAAACTTCAAATGCAGAACTTAAAAAAAATTCTTATTTATTTCTAGCTTAATTGCACTGTGGTTACAGAAGATGGTCTATTTGTAATAAATTCTTTAATATTTGGTAAGACTTGTCTTATGGCCTAGAATGTGTTCAGTTTTTGTGACTATTCCACATGTTCTTGAAGAACATATATTCCCTGCCTCTATGGGTCAGTAAATTCAAGGGTTTTTTTTGTTTTGTTTTGTTTTGAGGAAGATTAGGCCTGAGCTAACTACTGCCAGTCCTCCTCTTTTTGCTGAGGAAGACTGGCCCTGAGCTAACATCTGTGCCCATCTTCCTCTACTTTATATGTGGGATGCCTGCCGCAGCATGGCGTGCCAAGTGGTGCCATGTCTGCACCCGGGATCCAAACCAGTGAACCCCGGGCCGCCGAGAAGTGGAACATGTGAACTTAACTGCTGCGCCACCGGGCTGGCCTCGGTCAGTAAATTCAAATCTCCATCTTTCCTAACTTTTCATCAGCCATTAAAGGGTTAATCTCCCTTTGGGAGGCTGGAGCTCTCAATTTCTCCAGGTTGTTCTGTCAGTGTTTTCTTTATATATTTTGAGGCTAATTGACAAGGTGTTTACAAGTTTAGATTTAGAACATCTTCGAGGCAAATCAGCCACTTTATCATGATGTATTGACCCCTCCTGATTCTTTTAATATTTCTGTCTTAGTCTAGTTTATCTTGTATTAATATATCCTCTCTAGCTTTCTTTTGATTAGTATTTGTTGTATCTTTTTAACATCCCTTTTCTTTCAACCTTCCAGTGACCTTATGCTGAGGTATGCCTCCTTTAAAACACATATAGCTGGATACTTTCAATCAAGTCTGACCATCTGTATCATTCAATTTCAAAGTTTAGTCTGCTTACATTTGTTGTGATTACTGACATATTTGGCCTTGTTTCTGCCATCTTACTTTTTTGCTTTCTATTTGTTGCTGTTGACATTGGCTGCCAGCCTAATTGTCCTTCCTTTATGGGTGATCTGTCTTAACTCCCTGGCTGCTTTGCAATCTCCTTCTTTTTGGTATTCCACAGCGTCACCACAGTGTGTCTAGGTATGGATTCCTTTGCATGTATCTGGTTTGACATACTTTGTATGTGTCACCATTCTGCAGACTTTTCAACCATTCTCACATCTCCTCTGCTCCATTCTCTCTCCCCTCTCTCTGGGACTGGGATTTGACTTACGCTGGACTTTCTATTCTGTCTTCCTTATCTCAATCTCTCCTCATATTTCCCACTTTGTCCTTCTGAGTTGGAATCTGACTTCTTCATATCTGATTCATTAATTCCTCCTTTGGTTGCTGCTAATATGCTGTTTAACAACCTATCATTTCAGTAATTATAGTTTTCCTTTAGCAAAGCCTAGTTGGTTCCTTTGCAAATCCAATGGTCATCTGAGGTACTCATGTCGCCTGTTCTGTGATTCCAGCTTTTATTTTCCTCAGGGATTTCACACATAATTGGTAATGCCAATTTCTGAAGTCCTTGGAGTCTAAACTTGTCTATTTTTCCTTTCTGCTGACTCTCCTTTATGGTGATTTGTTTCCTTGTGTGTTTGGTGATTTTGGTTGTGACTCATATTTATTCACTTTTACTCTGTGGGAAATCTGGGGGCCTGAACGGAGGATTCCTTCCAGGACTTTGGTTTTTTCCTGCAGGAACCCTTCATGCCCTTCCAGGTTCCTAGGATAATCCAGGCAGCTCAGACTCAGTGCCCCCAACTCCGTCTCCTGTCCAATCAAGGGTGTGAGCCTGGTGCATTCTCCTAGTCCAGTGAAGGGTGTGGGTGTCAGCCTGGTGCATTCTCCTGTCCAGTGAAGGGTGTCGGCCTGGTGCATTCTCCTAGTCCAGTGAAGGGTGTCGGCCTGGTGCATTCTCCTGTTTTTTGAAAAGAGCTGCACGTAACCCGAGAAAAGTCCTCATGCCTGGCACAGGGCCTGGCTGCCACTGGTGTGTTCCTACCTGGAGAGCAAAAGGATGTCTTGGGAGGGGGCAGAGCAGGCTCTGAGGCCCCAGTGGCCTACTGAACACTGCCCTCTTCTTGTCTTCCCCAGGCCTGGCCAGCATGACCCAGAACTTGGAGCCACTTCTGAAGACGCAGGGCTGGGACTGGGCGTGAGTGCTGGGAAAGGAGGGGAGCAGGGGCAGGCTGTGTCCTGCAGGTAGGGTGCTGACAGGTCTGGGGCTGCCTGACTCTTCTCTTTTCCCCAGGCTCCCTCTGGCCAAGCTGGCCATCCGCGTGGGGCTAGCGGTCATGGGCTCCATGCTGGGCGCCTTCCTCACCTTCCCCGGCCTGCGGCTGGCCCAGACCCACCGGGACGCCCTGACCATGTCAGAAGATCGGCCCATGCTGCAGTTACTTGGGGGCCAGGATGGGTGGGGTTTAGGGAGCCTGAGGGAGAGGCTAGGGAGATGGCGGGTGCCCAGGCCTCACCCCTCTGCGCCCTTGCCCCCAGGCTCCTTCTGCACACCAGCTTCTTGTCCCCTCTGTTCATCCTGTGGCTCTGGACCAAGCCCATTGCACGGGACTTCCTGCACCAGGCGCCCTTTGGGGGAACACCCTACTCCCTGTGCGTATGGGTTGGTGCTGGGAGGGAGGGCAGCTGGGGACCCCTGTGTGTACTCCAGTCTCCGAAGCTCAGGGAGGAGGCTTGGGCCCTGGGGGAAAATCCCTGGTCGGGGTAGCCTCTCTAGCACCTTGCCCCTCCCTCTGGGCAGGCTGTCGGACTCTGTCTTCGACTCGCTGCGCCTCTGGGTGCTGGTGGTGCTGTGTCTGCTGCGGCTGGCGGTGACCCGGCCCCACCTGCAGGCTTACCTGTGCCTGGCCAAGGCCCGCGTGGAGCAGCTGCGGCGGGAGGCCGGTCGCATCGAGGCCCGTGAGATCCAGCGGCGGGTACGGGCGCCCCGGGGGGGGGGGAGGGAACCCGAAGCTCAGGGCGGGGCTCCGGGTCCCTCGGGCGTGGGGTCACCCGGAGCCCAGATGGTCCCCAGCTGCAGCCAGTGCTACCTGCCCACCAGGTGGTGCGGGTCTACTGCTACGTGACGGTGGTAAGTCTGCAGTACCTGACGCCGCTCATCCTCACGCTCAACTGCACGCTGCTGCTCAAGACGCTGGGTGAGAAGGAGCGGGCAGGGCGGGGCAGGGCGGGGCTGAAGTGGGGGCGGGACCTGGAGATAGAGCGGAGGGGGCCCACGGATAGGGTGGGCAGGACCTGGAGCTAGAGCAAGGCGGGGCCGGGGCGGGGCCTGAAGTGGGGCGGGAGGTAGAGCCCTGGGCAGGCGCGGAGCCTGGATGGGTGCGGAGCCGAGCCTGGGGCGCGGGGCGGCAGGTGAGAATCTGCTCCGCTGCGAGACTGGAGGCCCACCCCGTCTGTGCCTCCACCCATCCTTCGCTCCCCGCTCCTCCTCCTGCAGGTGGCTACTCCTGGGGCCTGGGCCCGGTCCCCCCGCTGTCTCCCGCCCCGTCCTCCGGCAGTGATAGCCCGGACGGCCCGTGGGAGGACGAGGCCCAGCAGACGGCGGCCCGGATCGCCGGGGCCCTGGGCGGCCTGCTCACGCCCCTCTTCCTCCGCGGCGTCCTCGCCTTCCTCATCTGGTGGACCGCCGCCTGCCAGCTGCTCTCCAGCCTCTTCGGCCTCTACTTCCACCAGCACCTGGCGGGCTCCTAACCGCTTGCGGGACACAGGCGCCCCCTCCGCGTGCGCCTCACTGCCCAGGTGCAAGGGGGCCTGGGAGTCCCCTCTGTGCCCGTCCCTTCACCGCAGTGCCTGAGCCATGACCCCCTTTGACCCTCAGCTTCGGCCTCGAAACTGTCTCCTCTGGGCCAGGTGGCAGAGGATCCCATGGCCATTGCGGTTTGACGACAGAGGGAGGGGCAATCTTCTGAACAAATAAAGGAGCAGGCCGCTTTTTACAACAGGATTCAAGTGGTTTGGGAGGCGGCCTCCTGTGTGTCCGTGTGGGGAGTAAGAAGTGCAGAGATGAGGAAAGGGGGGGAAATGGACCGATGTCAAGAGGAAAAGCCACCAGTGGGACTGGAGGAGAGACGTTAGGGGGAGAAGGAAGAGACCAGAAAGAGGAGGGGAGTCACCTGTGAAAGGGAAAGTGATGAGGGGGAGGGAGGAGAAAAGACTGGGAGAGGGGAGTGTGAGGACCAGAGAATGAAGCCCTCCGACAGACTGCAGGGGAGGGAGCGCGCAGGGAAGGGAACGTGCAGGGCAAGGATGGGAGGGGAAACCAGGGGGAGAATGGAGGGAGGGGAAGAGGGTGACCCAGGCCCTCTGCCACAGGGATGCAGGGGCTGCTTCCAGGTAAAAGTCACACGCAGAAAAATGGGTACGCTGTTGAGGTCGTGGTGACCCAGGGAAGGAGGGTGAGGGGCGGCAGTGACCCGGGAATTTTCCTGTTGCTGTGGCCACACCCAGTGTGTGTGCATGTACGTTATCATAACCCAAACGTGGATTATGGAACCTTTTTGGTATTTATAAAATGTATATTAAGAATAAAAAAGATGAGTCACAGCCATTTTCCTGACCAGGTGAGAGCCAAAGTCCTCCGTGATCGCCTGGGGCCCCAAGGCCCACCTCTGGGGCCCCTTGTCAATGCCCTGCCAACCGGCAAATGTGACCCACCTGGGGACCTTGCTCCTTGCAGGGATGTTCCTGTGCCAGGGCCCCCTGCTCCGGGCTCCCTCACCTGTGTCGGGTGTGGTTCACCTGAGGCAAGAAGCGCCCTCACCACTCCCCCTAGCTGTCATCTCTCCACTGACTTGCCAGCTAACAATAACCCAAAGGGAGCATGATTCCACTTAGTAAAGTGAGGTTATAACCGGACACGGTAGAAAGCAGCTCCGAGAACAGGAGCTGGAGCAGCAGAGAATGCTGTGTCCTAGAGTGGGGTTTGACTTTGGAAGCTCTGCTCTCGTTACGTGGATAAAAATGAAAAGTATATTTAAAACAAAGTTAAGACCTGGTTTAACATGAACTAAACACATTATCCAATTTTGATTCAATAGCCAAGCAATCCAAGTGCCCATTGACCAATGACTGGATACTCAGCCATAAAAAAGACAAAATCATCCCATTTGCAACAACATGGATGGACCCAGAGGGTATATGTTTAGCGAAATAAGCCAGACTGAGAAAAACAAACACCAGATGATTTCACTCATATGTGGAATATAAACAAACACATGGACAAAGACAACAGTTCAGTGGTTACCAAGGGAAGGGGGTGGGGGGTGGGCAAAGGGGTGAAGGGGAGCACTTATGTGGTGACAGACAAGAAATGTACAACTGAAATTTCACAATGGTGTAAACTATTATGAACTCAATAAAAAAATGATGAAAGTTATAAAAAAAAACCTCTATCAAACGTTAAAGGGGGGCCGGCCCCATGGCTGAGTGGTTAAGTTCGCACGCTCCGCTGCAGGTGGCCCAGTGTTTCATTGGTTCGAATCCTGGGCGCGGACATGGCGCCACTCATCAAGCCACGCTGAGGTGGCGTCCCACATCCTGCAACTAGAGGGACTCACAACTAAGAATATACAACTATGTACTGGGGGGCTTTGGGGAGAAAAAGGTAAAAAATAAAATCTTAAAAAAAAAGTTAAAGGAAGAGATAATACTAAACAAAAACAAAAACAAACAAAAAAGGTTAAGACCTGGTTTAACATGAACTAAACCTCATCATCAGATTTTGATCCTTCTCAAAACTCCAGTAAAAACACAGGTACATCATCTCCCAGCTCTGCAGGTCCCTGCACCATTCCCCTGGTGTCCCAGGAGCGTGGAAATTAACAGAAGAAATCTTAACTAAATTGGAGTCTGGAAGGCCTGTAGGAGGTGCTCTCAAGCCCTTTCACACATCATCAATTACACCAAACAGGGAGAGCTAGATATTTGCATCTTGGACGCAAAGTAAAACTACTGCTAAAGGAAGACTTCTCTCCCCACCCAGCAACAGCTCAGCCAATGAGAAACGCCATAGCCCAGCCAGTGAGAAACCCCACAGCCCAGCCAATGAGAAACGCCACAGCCCAGCCAATTAGAAACGCCACAGCCCAGCCAATGAGAAACCCCACAGCCCAGCCAATGAGAAACGCCACAGCCCAGCCAGTGAGAAACCCCACAGCCCAGCCAATGAGAAACCCCACGGCCCAGCCAATGAGAAACACCACGGCCCAGTCAGTGAGAAACCCCACAGCCCAGCCAGTGAGAAACGCCACAGCCCAGCCAGTGAGAAACCCCACAGCCCAGCCAGTGAGAAACCCCACAGCCCAGCCAGTGAGAAACGCCACAGCCCAGCCAGTGAGAAACCCCACAGCCCAGCCAGTGAGAAACCCCACAGCCCAGCCAGTGAGAAACACCACAGCCCAGCCAATGAGAAGCCGTTGCTGCCCTGAACCGCTACTTTTCCCCCAATGGACTTTCCTTTAGAACAGCCTCTCCTGTCCCCTTCTTTCCCTATGAATGCAGCTCCCCTCCTTTCTTTCTGGATTTGCCTGTAGTTCCCCATAGCATGTATATCCCCAAATGCAATTCTTTTGGCTATTCCCAAATAAACTCATTTTGAGGGTAAAATAGACAAATTTGCTTTTTAAGTTGAAGAGAGTCACCAAAGACTTCCCCTCGGCTGCACCCCAGCTGCCGAGGCCCCTGGGCCTAGCCTCTCCTGTAGCAGCACCTCAGCCCCAGCCCTTGGCTTGCTCCGCCGGGGCTGTGCTGCCCTCCGGTCGCTCTCAGAGCTCCACACCATGGGTTTGGGGACACAGAGGAAGGTGGGAAAACCAACAGAAGCGAGGCAGTGCAGCACACACAGACGGCCAAGGCAGGAAGAGCTGGTGATGGCCCTGGCAGCAGTGCCTGAAACTACATAAACTTTTACAGACTTTTTGTGACACATTTCACAATTTAAAAAAAGTAAGAATTACAAAAATAGGGAAGATGGGGGGGTCCAAGAGAAATACTTTGTGTTTAACTTTTGTTAATTGACACGTCCGTGGTAATGACCACTCCAGTGCTTCTGATGGGAGGGGATGATTCTGCCCCAAGGGGACATTAGGTAGTGTCTGGAGACTGTCACCACCTGATCACCCACCGCCCAGCTCCCTGGCCGACCCTGCTGCTTCCCCTCGTGCCCTCCCCATGGAGGCTCCCCTTTCCCTCCCCTTCTCTCCATCCTTACTCATTGGGCCCCACTTGCTCACCAACAAATCCGTTTCAGTTCTATAGCCCTTGGCATCTCGGGCAGCTTGAGCCAGCGCGACCAGAGCCCCTGAACTTCCCTTCCCACCCCCTCAGTCACATCAGCTCCATCTTTCCTGTTACATCAGAACAAGGGGTCACCTTGACCCCCAACCCCCACCCCTTTTTCTTTCTCCTCACACCCAGCCCGTTGGGAAACATGTCAGTAACACCTTCAAAACTGCCCTCACCTGAATGTCCTCGTCCCCTGCTGGCTGGTGGCTGTGGCTTGTCCAGCCTGTGGCTCATCCCCTCCCACGTGGCTCTGCCCGGCAGCCTGACAGAGGCTTTGTGAGAGAGTCCATGCCAACCCGAGCCCCGTCCTTCTGTGGAGCCCCCTGACTAGGGAGTATGAGGGCCTCACAGGGCACCAGATCCTGAGAGGAAAATCCAGACCTCTGCCACACGGACTGTGCTGGAACAAAGCAGGGGGAGGTGAAAGGCACTGTCAGCAGCAAACTGGGTCACGACGTAGTGAGAAGGGCCAGCTTGCCAGTGGCTTCATCTGTTCAGGCTGCTATAACAAAGTACTGTAGTCTGGGTGGCTGACAAGCAGCAGACATTGATTTCTCACAGTTCTGGAGGCTGGAAGTTCTAGATCAGGGCACTGGCAAGGTTGGGTTTTGGTCAGAGCCCACTTCGGGGTTGTAGATGCCACTTTGGGTCGCACCCTCACACGGTGGAGGGTAGAGAGGGGATGCCAGCTCTCTCATGCGTGACTCTTGTGAAAGCACCAGTCCCATCCTGAGGGCCCTACTCTCATGACCGCGTCTAACCTTCCTCACCTCCCAAAGGCCCCACCTCCTAACACTACCACGTTGGCATTAGGTTTCAACATGCAGATTATGGGGGGACACCAACGTTCAGTCCAGGAAAATAAAAGAGCCAGCAGCTGGGTCCCCCATGACGTCATGGATAACAAACAATCTGAGAAGGCAGAAGAGTCACAAACGAGGCAGAGACAACAAAGATCTTAAGGGAATTCTAGGAATTATTAGAAATCATATGGAGGTGACAATTTCCTAGGAAGACACAAATTAGGAAATTTAAATCTGGGTCTGGCCTCTCCTAGGTTGAAGGTAGGTGCCTGGGGCCAGGCTTTGGGGGGCTGTTGGTCCCATCCTCACCTAGAGTCCTGCAGAATCTTCTCAGCCCGCAGACATTGCGTCCTTCTCCTTGCTCAGACCCTGGCCCGGCTTCCCACCTGAGCTCCCATCTCCATCCTTCCTCCTCTGCTCAAGCACCTTCCATGGCTCCCCAGTGCCAGACTCAGGGGCTGCTGCCTGACACCCACCCTGCAGGGAATCCCCAGGCCTCTCCAGGGGCTTTTCCCAACACCCTAGGCAGGATCTTTCCCTCCCTCAGACACCTTCCAGGATCCCCACCTGACTCCCCTCAGTTCCATGGCACGTCTTTTAAATTTTTTGTGGCAAGAGCCAGAACAGCATCGCCTATCCACATTGCCCATCCTGAAGGAAGCCCCCCAAGGTAGACACAAGTCTGGGAACCCCAACTCCCCCCTCTCCAGAGGTGCACAAGGCCCATCCTGCACAGGGGCTCTGAGGGGCCCTGTGTGAATAAGATGTGTAACTCGCTACTCCCCAGTGTGTTAGTGTCACCTCCATTCCTGCCTCGTCAGGGCGCAACACGACACAGTTACAAAATTCCTGTTCATGCCTCTCCTACCAGGCCTGGTGTTTGGGCCTGCAATATACAGCGTGCCAAGAGGAGGGGGAAGAATAAGCGGCCAAGAATCATGGAAAGCTGCCTCATCCTGCAAGAGACCACAGCAAGATGTGAACTAAGACAGCAAGGAGCTGCCATGTTACACCCCCAAATGGCAGAAGTCGGAGGCCACCAGGCGCAAGCTGGAATGCCGCAGGCCACCCGTGGGCGCCCAGGTTGGCACGACCGAGCTGGGAAGCCCTTTGGCAGCACCTGGAAGGAGTGACCCCACAGCTGGCAGATCCTTTAGGGACACCTGCCAGGGAGGTGCTGGCTCATGGGAGCAGGAGCAAGGGCAGCAGTCACCAAACTATTTCTGACAGCAGAAAGCTGGCCCAGGAATAAATGAATAAATTGTGGAAACTTACATAGCAGGTAAGACACAAAATGTTGAGTTCTTATGAGGAAAGATCTCCAGGAGGAGTTGGGGGAGAAATAAGCAGAAAAGCAGGTAGTGTGAAATCATGAGATGCCGTTTTTCACCTGTCAGATTAGTGAAGGTCAAAAAGGCTGGTGACTGGCCGTTGGTGTTTATAGGCTGGATTGTGTGCCCCACAAATTCACAGGCTGAAGTTCTAACCCCAGGCCCTCGGAATGTGACTGTATTAGGAGATGGGGCCTTTAAGGAGGTGATTCAGTTACAGTGAGGTCGTTAGGGTGGCCCTGATCCAGTAGGACTGGTGTCCTTACAAAAGGAAACTTGGACACGGACCCACATAGAAGGAAGATGACGTGAAGACACAGGGAGAAGACGGCCAGCTACACGCCAAGGAGAGAGGCCTGAACGGATCCTTCTCTCGTGGCCCCAGAAGGAACCAACCCTGCCCACCCCTTGATCTTGGACTTCCGGCCTCCAAAGCTGTGAACAAATTCCTGTTGTTTTAAGCCAGCAGTCTGCGGGAATTTGTTACGGTGGCCACAGGAACTCATGCCCTGAGGGTAAGTGCTGTAAACAGACACCATCTCTTTGCAGGACTGTCTGGCATTTCCACCCGTCTTTGGATAGACTCCCTCAAAAGATGATCCTATCACAAGGATTCAGTTAAAACGACGTTTACCTGAGAGGTGATGCTACGGGGAGCCCTGATGGAAGTGAGGACATGAGACAGGGAGAGAAGGAACGCTGTAGGTGGTGCCAGTGAGCAGGTGACTCCCATGGGCAAGCTGGGCTTGGTCCTGCTGGGGACCTCGGGGAGACAGCGCACTGCCCGCACCTGCGTGGCCCCACCCAGACGGCGAGGAGCCTAACCATTTACCCTCCAACTGTCCTCAATGGCTGGCTGAGGGCTGCTCCTCGGTTGCTGGGTGTTGCTCTTTTGGGGAAGCCCACCCTGGGGAGCATTTCCCAACAGCGAAAAGCCGTTGGTGATAACCATGAGTGCTGGGTCTGGGCAGGCCCCATCAGCTCTTTGGGTAGCGTTAGCTACATTAATATATCTCTTGATTTTCACCAAGCAATTTTGTTCCTACAAACTTATACCACAGACACACTAGCACATGAACCCAAAGAGGCACATATAAGGAGTTTTGTTTCAGAAAGTGCCAGGAAACTCAACTCTTAGTAAAGAGGATAAAGTGACTCATGTTGCTGGAAACTGAGAGGCAGTTAAGCTTCAGGAAAATCTGGATCCAGCAGCCTAGACAATGTCACCAAGAATCCAACTCCTCTCCTCACCTCCGCTCTACTTCCTGCAGTGTCAGCTTCCCCATGGGGTTCGTTCCTACCTCACAGACACAAGATAGCACCAACAACCACTAGGACTGGGGTTTCTTCCCCTGGGGCCAGTGGGAGAGAGGACGGCTGCTTCCGGAAGCTCTCCCTGGAGAGGCCAGCACACATCATCTTTACTGTCACAGGTCCAGATGGAGTCAAGTGCCCACCTCTCTATAGTAGGGGATGCCATAGTGCTCGGGGGAGTGTGGTAGGGCTGACCCTCATCCCCCAGGCTCAGGAACTGATTCAAGAGGTGGGACTGACCAGAAATTGGGATGGACGTGGGGGCACGCTCAGCAGCCACCAGGAGTCACTGCCACATTGTCCTCAACGCCTCACTAAAAACCTAGCTGCCCATCAGTAAGGGATGGGTGGGTCTCATCATGGCTGTCCCCTAGGGAACAGGAAACTGCCACTAAACAGTGAGACAGACCTGTTCACAACAGGGACGGATGTGCAAGAAATACAGTCGGACCAAAGCAGCAGACAGAGTAGCTCCGGGTCGGCGCTGTACGTCATCCTAGCACGGCTCGTGCCCGCGCACGCATGCGCACTTGCAGGCACACGCGCTCCCCTAGTACCGGAGGCTCACAGAAGCTCCGCTTCCCGCATCTAGCTGCGGCGTGGAGAGGGGAGGGAAGGGGGGGTGGGAGCTCTGCAAGTCTTTGTGGGCAACCGGTTGCAGGTGAGGTGAGTCTCAAAGGCCACCAGGAGACCTCGTTGTCCTGGCCCTCCCTGCAGACAGCGACACTGGTGCCCACAGCTTCAGCCAGCGGCGGAGCGGAGCCCAGAGCAGGCGACAGACACAGGGCGCGGGAGGGAGAAACCATGGGGGTTCTGGGCAGGGCTCACCCAGGCAGGACACCGCCCATCCCGACCAACGCCGTGGGACAGGTATGCATCCACAGGATCTCTCTGGAAGGACACGCGAGAAACTGGTACCCGGAGGGGGCCCAGCGGAGGGAGTGAAACTCTTCACCGTGAAAACCCTTCTGTGCAATTTGTGTTTTCTAGAAAATCACATTATGTATTAACAATTCAAACAACAGTTACATTTTTTAAAAAGTTTATTCAAGACTTTATTCAAAAATCTGTCAAAGTAACTTCAACCCTGTTTTTGGTTCATGGAGGGTGGGGGTCAGAGGCAGGAGAAAAAGTCACTTTGATTTTTATTAAATATACTCTCTTGGCACAAATCTTTAAAATATATAAACATTATATATAAACAAAGTGTCTTCATGGCATCAAATGTAACTCCAGACCAGGACAGGCTACCACTGGGGAGGGGTGTGACAGCAGAGGGCACCAGCCCGGCTGAGTGCAGGCTGGGGGTGGGGGTGGCACTGCTGAGGCCCACTCGGCTGAGCCAGCTAGGGGAGGCACACTGCGGCTAGCAGGACCTGGGGGACCCTCCCCGCCCTGCTCAGCCTGAGGCTCAAAGGAGGATGCTGCCCAACCATCCATGTGGTCTCAGCTGCCCGGGGTGGACCCCAGTCCCTGCTGCTCTCTCTCACCTGGGGCCCCTCGGGTCCCCATCCTGTCTCCCTGTGGGGTCACCCCGCCTCTCCTCCTCTCCAGCTAAGCCTGGGCACTGGGCAAGGCTTGGCGAGGGCGTGGGATGCTCACCCAACAGGACAGCCATCACAGGCTGCCTGGCTCCCCAGGGATGAGTATGGGGATGAGACGAGGCTGGCCAGTGGACACGTACAAGAAAGGGCAGAAAGAGGGGTCTTCACATCCACAGGTCTGAGGCGACGCACAACGGAGGGAAAAAAGAAAGTCATGATTGAAATGGGCGTGGGGTAAACACACCCTCTCAAATCCTTTTACACATCCGGGCTGCTGAGCCAACTGTGAAAACCGACCCCTGGTTCCCCTCATCCTGGAACCAGATAGGGTGAGTCAGTTTGCTGTGAATAGACCCAGGGTCAGCCAAATTGAAAAACAAAACCAAAAAAAATCAAGGAACTCCAAATGTCATTAGAAACCGGGCATTTCTGAGTCCCTGTGACACCTGGCAGGCCAGGGGACTTCTCCATGAGCCAGCTCCTTGGGTGTGCCCCGGAGTACCCCAGCTCCTCCTAAGCTTCCAGTCCCCAGGCCGTACACTGTCTCAGGGCTCCCCCTTTGGGAAAATCAAGGCTGCCAGCCACCTCCATGTGCTCTGTTCATGGAAATCAGACAACACTGAGCCTGAAACTGCCCTGTGATTCTGCCAAACGTCTGCTCAGGTGGGGAGCTGAGGATGTGCCAGATGCTATGGGTTCCCTAGGAGCCACAGTGCCTACAGGCAGAGGTCAGGGCTGTGGGGCGGGAACTTGTTGGCCCCAGGAGGCGACCTGGGTACCCAGTTTTCGGCAGATGCTCCAGGTGGGGCTCAGACCCAAACCCGTGGCGATTCCTCCAACCCTGCTGCCTGGAAGGAGACGTGGCCCTCCTGGGAACATTACAAACTGGGTGGGCAGGCAACAGAAGAAGACCTGATCTGAGGGCCAGGATCGGGACAACGCTCTGGGGAGAAGGCTGTTCCCAAACAGGGGGCTCTGGGGACAGAAGAGTCATGTCACCTAGGAAGCAATGGCGGAGGCAGGACAGGCGGGGTGGGGTGGGGTGGGGCAGGAGGCTGGTCCCGTCCCAGACAGGGCGCAGGGCACAGGCCAGGCCGTCTGCACTCTGCGCACCTCCTTCCCCTGGGTGTCCTCTCAGAACAAGGGGCAGGAGAAGTCTGGCTGTGAGCCCAGTGAGGACTGGGTCCCTAGAACCAGGAGCATGTCTAAGGACACAGAGCGCCAGGAGGCAGCGCAGGCAGTTAGGAAACCACCTCCAGGAGGCAGGGTAAGCCCTAGGGGGGAGGGAAGAGGAGAGCGCAGGAGGCGCTGGCCCACCTGTCCCAACACTGCACTGCCAGGGCGTCTGGCTTTCTCCTCGGACCTGTGGGCGCTGAGGCCAAGCCCCCCTGAGCCGCCAGCTTGTTCCACAAGGTGCTCCGACGCGGTTCCCAGGGGTAGAACCAAACACACCCTTGCTCCACCGGCTCAGAAACAAAAGGGGTCAGCCGGCCACCGCGCACTGAGCTCGGCTCCCTGTCCCGAGAGGGCTGACCCGCCGGGCCCCTAGCTCTGCAGGCGCCGCAGCAGGATCTGCATGAGGTCGAAGGTAGTGAAGCTGATGCCCACGGCGATGGGGCCCTTGAGCCAGTTCATGCTGAGGCCCTTGTAGAGGCCGCGCACCGCGCCCTCCTCCCGCACGATGGTGCACATGGTGCGCGCGATGGAGGTGCGCGGGTGGCCCGTGACTCCGGCCGTCTGCATGCGCCGCCGCACCACGTCCAGCGGGTACGAGGCCGACTGCCCGATGAGGCCGGCGCAGGCCCCGAAGATCATGCGCTCAAAGGGGTAGGGCTGCCGGCGGCCGCTGTACTCTGCGGGGTGAGGGGCGGGCGGGCTGTGAGGGCGACGCGGGCGCCCGCACCCCCACGCGCCACGACACACGCCGCACTGCCACCCCTGCTCTCAGGACCTGACCGGCTCGCCTGGGCCTTCTCACCTGGGTCATGGCTATTCTGCCTCCTCACTTCCCAGTCCCTCCTTTTTAATCAAATTTGAGGAATAAAAGTTTTAAAAATGTCAGAAAAGCACAGAGAATCATATAAGCAAGTCCTAAGACCCAGACGGAGCTCCCATCTACTCGCTCCTGTTTTCTCTCTAGTAAAGAAAGAAAACGTCACCCGTGTCGGGGACCCTGACGGCCAGCCAGCCCGTGGGGGTGGTGGGCGACCCTGGACCTCGGCCTCCACAGAACAGTGAACACCACTGGTACTGCCTCTGCGGCCAAGAGGGACCAAGGACATGTGGGTGGGACAGAGGAAGGGGCAGCAACCCATCCACAGAGGTTCTTTGAAAATGTGTTGTATCCGGGCGGCCCGTGGGGCAGCGGTTAAGCTCTCACGTTCCGCTTCAGGGGCGGGGTTCGCCGGTTGGGATCCTGGGCAGGGACATATGCGCTGCTCAGCAAGCCATGCTGTGGCAGGCATCCCACATATAAAGCAGAGGAAGATGGGCATGGATGTTAGCTCAGGGCCAGTCTTCCTCAAAAAAAAAAAGTGCTGTAATTTAAATATAAGAGTTAAAAACTGGAACTTGGAAACAATAAAGGAAACTGCCAGTCCCGGGAGAAGGGAGACAGGGGACAGAGCCGGCAGGGAGAGTAACACCCCAAAAGGGCTCTCACACCCACACCAGAGCCACGCCTGACTGTCTCCTGACGCCTGAGTATCAGCTGATCACAGAAAACCTGGAAACAGTCGAAGTCCCCCCAGTAGGGGGCGGCCCACCCCTCCACTCAAACAATGGGCCAGAGCCCAGGACGGGCGGCTGGGACTCAACCAGCCTCGCTGCCGGAGGTGCAGGTGCGGGCCGCCTCTGCTCAGTTACTTTTCATCCCCAGGAGGCCCTGTGGTTCCAGTCCCGACAGAGAAAAGCACTAGAAGGGTTGCCAACCACAGTGAGGCGCAGCCGCGCTTCCAATGAGGCCTGGGGTGGAGGCACGTGGAACCTCAGCTTTACCTACAACGTTTTCTTTCTTTACCAAAAAACACCTTGGAGCAAAGGTGGCAGGACATTAACACCTATTAACACCTGTTTGTACCCAGTGGCAGGCATGGGAGGGGTTATGTCGTTCTCCGTATGTTTCTGTACTTTTGGAGTTTCTCAAAATTACCAAAGCGCCAGAGGGTACTCCTCCCTCCAGCTCGGTTTTATCCTTATGCTTTGTGCACGTGGGTCTGGGTGCTCTGGGTGACACACTGGACTGCACAGGGTTGCTCCTACAGTAAGGCATTAAAGGTCAGGGGTCCAGGTTCCTCCTCCTGATTCAGGCCTGGGCTCCCGGCCGGCCCCACCCAAGGGGGTCCTCAAGCCCCACCTCCAGGTCTGTGTGACCCCGGTGATGTGGCCCTGGCTCCGGCTCCTTACCTCTGTGCAGGCTCTTGAGCGTCTCGTAGGTGAAGAAGCTGAGCCCGGCATAGGGAATGACCCCCAGCACGGTGGGCGTGAACCCGTGGTAGAGGGTTGTCAGCCCCTCTTCTCGGGAGATGCGAATGAAGACATGAAAGATATTGCTGTACCTGCGACGAGAGGGTGGGCTGCAGGCCTCCCGGCACGGGGCAGGACCCCTGGCCTCCACTCAGTAATTCTGAGCTCCTCCCAGTCAGCCAGCAGGGCCGGGGCTGGATGCTGACATATCTGTGGAGCAAAAGCTTTGGCCTTCGAGGGGAATGTGCACCTAAGACCCTTCTCCACCTTCACCACTGGGGTCGCTGGGTGGGGCTCAGCTGGGGGCTTTTATTTGGACGCATTTTTAACACCTCTGTGCCCAACTCAAAACGAAGACTCTTGGTTTGATGGAAGCAGAAACCGACCCCCAGACTAAGAAAACCAATTACAGCGGTGCCCCCTTATCCACGGTTTTGCTTTCCCAGGCTTCGGTTCCTCGCTCCGGCCCACCCGGGTGTGAATCATCCCTTTGTCCTGCATGTCCACGTTGTATCAGCTACCTGCCCTGAGTCACTCAGTGGCTGTTTTGGTCATTGTCGTCCGAGATCGACTGTGTCATATTGCAGGGCTTGTGTTCAAGTCACCTTTATTTTACTTAATAATGGCCCCAAAGCACGAGAGTAGTGATGCTGGCAATTTGGATACACTAAAGAGAAGCCGCAAAGTGCTTAAGTGAAAAGGTGAAAGCTCTCAAAAAATCGTATGCTGAGGTAGCTAAGATCTACAGTAACTCTTATTACAGTATACTGTTATAACTGTTCTATTTTATCATTGTTGTCACTCTCTTACTGCACCTAATTTATAAATTAAACCTTATAGGTCTGCATGTGTAGGGTAAAACAGTATATACAGGGTTGGATGTATCTGTGGTTTCAAGCATCCATTGGGGGTCTTGCAAGGTATCCCCTGTGGATGAGGGGGGACCACCGTAGTGCCTTCGCGGGACAGCCACACCACACGCCTGGCCTGGCCTGTTGTGCCAGCCGGGCTCCACGCCGAAGAGCACTGAGCCTCCAGCTTCTTCTCCGCTGGATGCAGAGGCCCAGACTCAAACCTCAGGGGCCCAGTAGAGGCATCCGACCTAGGAGCCCCACGAGACACAGCCTCTACTGCTGCCAGAAGCATCACCGCGTTAGGACTCACATTTCCTTTGGGGTCACCGCCATCCGCGCTCTGACCAGGTCCAGGGGGTAGGTCAGGGAAGCAGCCGTCGTTCCAGCCAGAGCGCCTGCGAGGAGGCGGGGCCAAGGGGGCAGAGCTCTGAAAGGCGGGGAGAAGGTGAGACCCCCAGACCCACAGGTGTCAGCCGGAAAGGGGCGGGGGATGCAGGACTGCCACGGCTAGCTTGCTGGCAGCTGAGCTGAGGGGGTGATGGGTAGAGGTCATTCTGGGATGCCTATGGCTGCCTTCTCTTTCCTCTGCTTGTATGAATGACTGAATGACATGGACCGTCCCTACGGCTCTGGGGCACAGTCGGGATCACGGGCCCTCCTGGGACTCAGTGTCTGACGCGGTGTGCTTGTATTGAACGGAGAACAGGGTGACGTGAGGGAGTGAAGAGGGTTGGGGGGAGGAGGAGGGGGCGGGGCCTCACTCCAGTAGGGGGGAGTGGGGCGGGGCCGGGGGTGGGGCCTCACTCTCCGCGGAAGCCGTAGTAGCGACCCAGGACCCGCTTGTACTCCTCGTGCGCGCTGAACTGGATGGCGGCGTAGGGCACCACGCGCACCATGGTGGCCGAGTTCCCGCGCCACAGGCTCAGGAAGCCCTCGTTGAGGTAGGTGAAGTAGAGGAGTCGGAAGGCCTCCTGGGGGAGGGTGGGGGAGGCGCAAGGTCACCGCCCACCGCCAGCCTCGGTCCCGCTGCTGGTGAACACCTGCTTTATTTTGTCCAGCCCCGCGCCTGGGGGCGACCCAGTCGATCCAACTGCGCCTTACCCTCCCCCATTCCCTGGGCCCCGCACTGGGAACCCCTCTCAGTCCCCCGACGCTGGGAACTGCACAGTGAGCTGGGGGAAACCAGGCCCAGAACGCGCTCAGAGGGAGTTCTGTTGATGTCTGGCAGTCTAGCTTTTAAAAATACTCTATCTTTTCCTTTATCAAGAAGGTAACGGCCTGCTCTGTGTTTAAAAATATATCCAATATGAAAACGTGGATTTAGAACATCGAGTCCCTGCCCCATGGGTACAGGGGGTCCCATCAATTCCCAGGGTGGGCTGAGGCCAGGTAGAGCGCAGGGTGTGGGGCCTGGCAGCGCAGCAGCCTGGGAACTGGCCTGGGGGTTGGGAACCAATGGGAAAAAGCGTCTCCCCACCCCCACCCCTCCTCCACCGCCTCCTGCCAGCCCAGCAGGGCAGACGGTAACCTACTGGCTCACCTTGGCAGAAAATCTTTTTGAAGACACTGGAAAAAAACAAAAACACAACAAAGATTGTTAGCTGTAAAGGACAGCACCCCCAGTCTGCCTGACCTCCACCACAGGGGTCCGGTCTGAGCGTGCCTTGCGGAATGAGAGCAGCCCTGGAGAACCACCCCTCTCAACGGCCCAGTTAGGGGCAACCTCAGCAACGTCACCCCTCCACACCACACCATACCACACCCAGGGCCTCTCTGCACACCAGCTTGTCTCCAGGAAGGGGAGCTGAGCTGCCATCTGACCTCCGGAGACAGTAAGAGTCTTCAGCAGGGGCCTGTGGGAAGAGGTGCCTCTGGAGGGTCGACACTCAGCAGCCCTACGCTGGCTGGACTCCAGTCTAACCAAACCCTTTGGGGAAGGTGTGCCAGCCGCCAGCCATGTGGGGATCAGCCAAGGGGCTCTGGTTCCCTCAGGACAAGGCCCAGGGGGCATTCCAGGTCTGGGGTCTGCCCTCTCTTCTGGGAGGCCTGAAACCGGCAGAGTTAGCGATTGATAAGTAGCTAGGAACTAAACTTTTTTTTCCTTTTTGCAATTACTGGTTATGACTTTTAGCTGTTTACCCACCCACTGATAAGTGCGCTTAGGCAATATGCTATCTGACTCCCACTAGGTTCCTACAGGTAACATCCCCTGGAGCCTGGGTCACCATGGTAAGGGGTGTGCGAGCTGTTTTTCAGAAATTAGAACCCCTTGTCCACTCCAAGCTGGTTGAGACCACCAACTCATCAACCGGGCCCATGGAGACGTCCGATAAGTGACATTTTGACATCAAGAGGCTAAAGACTCCCCCCTCAGATCATGCTAATGCCGCCATTTTGTGAGCACACGTCCTGTGAAGAGGCGTGGAGTCTGACTACACTTGCGCAGGTCATCAATTCCCTCACCTCTCCTCACCTCCAATCACCTCTCTCCACATTTCAGACCACCTTGCCCCCCATCCCATAAATATCCCTGAGTCCCTATTTTCGGGGAAGCGAATTTGAGGCTCATGCTCTCCCTTCCTCACGTGGCTGCCTTGTGAGTAAACCCTCTCTCTGCTGTGATCTTGTTGTCTCAGTGTTTGGCTTTCTGGGCAGCAGGCAAAAACGAACCTGGTTTGGTAACAGGCCTGGTACTGGCGCCCTTAACCCACCTCTCCCACCCTCTGTGGCAGCCTGGCTGGCTCCCTTGCTCCATGGTGTGCTCTGCCATAGTGGCCACAAGGACCTAGAAATATAGGCCACGAGGGGTGGCAGTCTTGCAGCCTCCCCTCCTCACTCCTGTGCATCTGCTGTGTTCCCGGACGTCCTTGCACTGTGTGTGAACATGTGTGCACACCTACAGCCTCCAGAGTTAACCCAGCTCCCTGCAGGGCGCCACCCTGGGCATCTGCTCCGGGAGGCACAGGGAGATGCCTGCTCAGCCGCAGCCTGCCCTCTCTCACCTCAGCTCACTCCTCAGGGAGGAGGGTGATATTCATGTCCTGTCCTATGGATGAGGAAACTGAGGCACAGAGAGGCTAGGGGAGCCGCTGGAGGAAGTGGGGAGGACCCAGCTCGAGTCTGCAGTCCTCTCCTCCCAAACAGCTAAAGGCAGGGGTCCTGGGCTGTGACCGTCCTCCTGCCTGGTGCCACAGAGGCAGTCACCGTCTGCCAGATGCAAAGGCCTCATCTTCAGGGGATCCTCTGCCTGCTTAACCCTGAGGAGGGAGGGAGATGGCTTCTTGAACTGTGTCCCCCAAAAAGATTTGTCCATGTCCTCACCCTGGTACCCGTGACTGTGACCTTATTTGGAAACAGGGTCTTTGCAGATGTAATTAAATTAAGATGAGGTCATACTGGAGTGGGGTGGGTCCTAAATCCAATGACAGGTGTCCTTATAAGAAAAGGAGAGGACACAGACACAGAGGGCAAGGCAGAGATGGGGTGATGCAGCCACAAGCCAAGGATGCCTGGGGCCCCTAGAAGCTGGAAGAGGCGAGGTAGTGTCCTCCCCTGAGCCCCCAGAAGGAATTAACCTGGGTGACCCCTTGATTTCAGCCTCTGGCCTCCGGAACGTGAGACCATAAATTCCTGTTCTGTGCTGCCTGATTGGGGGTGCTTTGCGATGGCAGCCCCTGGACACTAACAGAGTTTCTAAGTGGGTTTTAAAGAGGCATTTTTAAAGCCAATTTGCAGTGCAGTTTGGGGGGGCTGTGGAGGAGGACGGTGACTGCCTGGCAGCATCTCTACTGCACGGAACAGACGGACAGACCACGTTTACCTTGGAAGATGATTTTGGTTCGGTCTAGGGGAGCTACTGCCGTTTTGGCGAGAGCACCAGCCAGGGCCCCGGACAGGAGGGAGCTGAGAACTTGCCTGTGATCGCTCTGCAAGAAAACACCCAAACGCGTGGGGTCAGAGAGGGAGGAGAGGGGCCTGCTCTACTGGGGACGGTGCCCAGTACCCAGGAGGACTGCCTTCCCCCCACCCCTGGTCCAGGGCCTTGAGGTGCACAGTGGCCAGAGCAGTGTGGCCCTGCTGGGCCCTGGTGCCATGGGGCACGAGGCAAGCTGTGCTGAGTCCAGCGGCTGCAGAGCCTTCAAAGGACACAGTGAAGACGGCCCGGGCAACATGAGAGGTGACGTGCTATCTCGGCCATCCCAGGAGGTTCCAAGTTCTCGGTCCCATAATAGGACTGACCCCAAACAGAAGAGTCACCTGACCCATCCAAGGCGAAAACTTTGGTTCCGCCCACCACCCATGTGAGCCACACTCCTGCGCTGCAGCATTTCAGAGCAGTCAGGAGGGCCCTGGTGGTCTGGGGACCAGGCAGGGGGGTCAGGAAAGCACATGGACTCTGTGGCAATGCATCCTCTTTCCACAATTTTCTGTCAGGACTTCAGAGGCCAGCATCTGTGGCTCTTCATCCAGCCAAGGCGAGGATTACTGATGGTGATGGCGCTGACCCACACTGAGTGCTCCCTCCACCATCCTTGGGCGTGGGGCCAGTGCTTTCTCACATCTTCTCCAGGCTCCCTGATCTCCCACTTGCACAGCCCTCCTTCCCTCGCAGGTCCATCTGAGCCTTAAGGAAGCCACCTGCTCATCAAGTTAGAGTGTCCATTACCCCAGCGGGCTTGGCTACAGAACTCTCAGTGAGCAACTGTGGGGAGCACTCTGGAATGTTCTAGAGTGGAAGCACATCCATCTTTCCTGGCTCCGAAATGAGTAAGGAAGGCGAGGGGCGGGTCATTCAATAATCCCAGAAATCTGTGAAGTCTGATGTGGACCAGGCACCCTGAGGGGCCTGGGGACACACAGCATGGGGTAGGGGTATGTATGAGCTCCCACCACCCCCATGGGGCTGCCAGTCCACAGGGAGAGCCAGACGTGAATTAAATCTTCAGACAAATATGCACAGTCACCAACCCAGGAGGGGATGTGAGGAGGGGGGCTCAGGATTCTGGAGACAGGATAGGGGGTGAGGGGCTGAGGTGTAAGTAACTGGCGTATGTGTGACAGTATTAGAGGGGGGCAGAACAGAATACTCAGAGGCCTCAGTGAAAAGGAGCAGGTGGCCCTGGGGGACCACAAGGAGGGCAGGGTGGCTGACCCAGGGAAAGGGAGGGGGACAGGGAAGGGAGAAGAGATGAAAGGTGGGTGGGGGCTGGACACAACCTGGGGGCCCCACAAGGAGGCTGGTCTTTGCCCAAAGAGACATGGAAAAGCATGGAAGGGGGACAGGCCATTTTAACTGTAACCAGAAGAGGTGACTCCTGCAGAAACCCAGGATGGACAGGCAGAGGCTGGGATCAAGAAGGGCTGTGGGAGCCTTTAGGGGGTACAAGTGGCAGCCTGAGTCTGAGTGGGCATTGGCAGGTCTCCCCGGAGCACGTTCAGCTCAGTGGGTGGCTCAGGGGTGAAGAGCTGGGCTCCATCCAAGTCTGTCCACATACCTTGCCTGAGTGTGGGTTCTGCCCGACCGACCACAGTGACCACATGGCCTCTCTGGTCTGGGTCCAGCTCCCAGATGCTCTCCCGAGAGTCTCAGATACTCCCAGGGGCTGTTTGCCCCGCCACCTGGCCCTGCCCCTGTAGGGCTCTGGCCTTTCCCTAATGCCCCCATGCCCCCTCCAACCAGCCCAGCCCACTCCCCCCGCAAAGAACAGATTCCATGGTAGTGTTCCCCTCCAAGTTTCTGAGCCTGAGCTTCAGCACAGGCTTCCATCCTCTTGCTTCCCAGAGGCCCAGCTTTGGGGACGGCTGCCTTTTCCAGGTCACACAGCAAGGCTCTGGACATCTGGTCTTGTTGGCTTTGAGGGGTATGGATGTCAGATGCTCAAATGCTCAGTCGTGTTCCTGGTACCACTCCAAGGCCCGACGGGCCCCCTGCCTCCATTTCCTCTTTGTGAATCAATGCAGTGACCGCTGCCCTCGTGGGCCACTGTGAGCAGAGGCAACACCCCAAGCACGGGCCCTCCCTGGGCCCTGTGGGCACTAGAGGTGGAGCTGACGTGTCCCTTCCATCTCCTTCCCCAGGTTACTTCCTATGCAGTCTGCGGTTCTTAAATCACAAGGCACATCGGGACACATATGCCCTTAACCCCTAACTTGCGAGGTCGTACTCCGGGGACATGCTGTGAGCCCACTTGCCGTGCTCAGTGGAGGCTGCTGCCTTGGGCTGATGCTTCCAGTGACTCTTAAGTGACCACGGCTGGTGTGTTCATAAAGAGCTGGGCACAGGCATCACCGAATGGTCAGAGTCTCCATACCCACTATATAGAGAGAGCCTGCAAATGAAGGATGACGAGACAGCCCAGGAGAGAGAAAGTGGGCAAGTCACAGACAGGATCCACACTGGCTGTGAACACCACAAGAAGATGCTTGGCTTCTCAACCAAAGAAACGGGACTTTACAGAGTGAGCGCTGCACATTAGGCTTGCCGAGCAGACCAAAGCTGATGTGGTTGTGCCAGCCAGGAGAGAGGAAAACCCGCGCTGTCTGTTCCTGTGCACACGGGCACCGGGGCCTTGTGCTGCGCGTGTCCACTTGGCAGGATCCAGCCAGCCAGCCAGCGGAGGGAGGATGCGTCTCCCTCATGCTCTGCCGGGAAGCTCACTAGACTGTGAGGGCTGGCCGTGCCTGATCTGGGGTTTGGCAGCCCCGCACCCCGCCCCCCCCACGTGGTGACAGTGGCCCCACCTGCTGGCCCAGCGAACCAGTCCTCTCACCCAGCTGGCACTTTGCAGGGCACCTGACACTTCCCCTGGAATTCGGGGAAAGGTTGGGAGGACTGAAGATGACGCTTCAGCCTTTGACCCCGTGGACTTTGAGACGTGCCCGCGGCGCTGGAGCGGGGATAGGTTTCTGCGTGGGGCTGGGTCAGTCTGCGTTCCAGGTTCAGCCCGGTGAACTTCTATCTGCTTCTACAGTGAACAAGGACAGGGCTGATCTGATTTCTTTAAAAGGGAATGTACATTCAATTGAAGGGTGGAATCAGAGATGGACTTCAGAGCGCCCTCCCCCACGGCGGGCCCCGCCTTTGGCTAATTCTTTTGTGTTTGCAAATCTGAGTGAGAAAAGGGGCTCAAGGACACTTTTTGACATTCCAAATTTGGGCGAGGTTCTGGCTTCTTGGCAAGTGGTTGGGCCAGCTGGATCCACATCACAAATGGGGCTCTAAATGGAAAAGGAGGTGGCCGGCCTGTGTCCCACCTCCCCCCACCCCCTGCCACATGGCGCACTGATGCAGCTCCAACCTCAGTGTGGGGGAAGCGATTTGTAACGAGGTGCAGGAGCACTGAAGAGGGACCCTGTGATAACGCCCATCCAGGAGGCCAGGTACTTGCCTTTGAAGAGACGGGTGAGGACAGGACAGCCTCGGCATCCTCACGCAAACGCACCGCACCTTCTTTCACACCATTACCCATTCCAGGCCTGCTCAGGATGGCGAGACTGGGTCCTGGGGAGTGAGAGGGGGTGTGGGGAGACCAGGTGAGAAGGGGGCCTCCCTCACCCGCCTCGGGCCCGGGACTCATCCTCGTCACCTGAAGCCAGAACTGCCTGTGCAAGAGTGCTTTTCTTAACCTGGCCTCTGTCCCCCTGCAGGGGAAGGACGCCCACACTGGCATCCAGATGCGGCAGTCCTCAGTGCTGATCACTTAATCATTTACAAAGGCCTTTCTCATCGGCTCTTTTATTTGATCGTCATAAACAGGTCTCTGAGTTGTCTGTTTTTTTAAACCTAGCAGCAAACAGGTAGATGGGCTCAGAGAGGTTAAACCACCCCAGTGAAGTCACAGCAGGAGGTACGGATGTGGTGGGCTGTGGGGTGGGCTGTGGGGGGGCATGGAGGCCGGAGGGCCCTGCCTGCCTGGAGTCAAAGGCCCATTTGGCTTATGTCAGCTTGGACCTGAGTTTCCGTCCACAGAAATACTTTTAGAAAATTAATCTTTTTCCTACCACGTGGCTGCCTGCTTTTTGTGGCCAAATTTACAGTAAAGGGCTCTAATACTTGAGGATTCCTCTCTGGAAACCTACATTTATCCTCCCGGTGGAAGTGCACGCAGAGCTCAGCAAACCACAGTGAGGGGACCAGAAGGAAAAAAGGACGAAGGACAGGTGTCACCGAGATGCCTCCATGCACCAGTGTCCTTTGAAGTCTGGGTTCCTATGCTTTAAATGATCCAATAAATCAATACACTTGACTGTAAAATGATGCAGATGATGCAGATGCACCCTGAGCGGGCCGTGGAAGCCCCTCAGGACCTGCAGGTCCTCCCAGGCACCCCGTATCAATGCCTATGCGGAATGTCCTAGAATGCGCAAGTGTGATTCTGCTCCACTTGCCCTCTGCCACTGACTGTTTTCCCACCTAAAACAGGCCCTGGCTCTGGGAGAAACAGCAGCTTCCAAGATGGAGCAGGAATAGAGGATGAGCCTGGAGCACCCTGAAGTGCCAGGGAGTAACCAAAACCAATGGGGGTGTGACAGGGGGACAAGGGAGCAGAATCAACGTAGCCAAAGCTGGAACAGATTGAGCAACAAAATCAATAAAGCAGTGTTGGATTATAAAAACTCCAAAGTGTAAAATAGCCACAAGTCCATACTGATGTAAATGAAGGGACACATTTCCCACGCAGAGGAATTCCAGATGACTTGTGCAGATGCTCCACCCTTGAGGAGGGGCGCGTGACCCCTGACCCCTTAGCTGTGCGCTGTACCTAGTGACTTCCTTCCAAAGGGTACAGCATGGAAGGGAGCACAAGAGTCACATTACAGTGGAGACACCTGACAGATGCCACCTCAGCCAGGTGATCAAGGTCACATCACAGTGATGCTGTGTTGATGGCATGTGCCCTGGACACGGTATGATGAGAGGGGCACTTCACCTCTGTGCTCCTCCTCCCCAAACCCGTCCCCCAGTCTAACCACGAGAAAAACACCAGACCGACCCCAACTGGGGGCATCCTACAACATACCCGCCCAGTCCTCCTCAAAACTGTCAAGGTCATCAGAAACAAGAAAGTCCGAGAAACTGTCTCAGCCCAGAGGAGGCTAATGTGATGACAAATGTCATGTGGGATCCTGGGACAGAAAAAGGACACTGGGGGAAACTGAGGAGAGCCAAATAAGGTCGAGACTTTAGTTAATAAAAATATACTAGAATTTGCTCATTAGTTGTGACAAATGTACACGCTAACATAAGATGTCATTGAGAGGGGAAACTGGGTGTGTGGGGCATGGGGGAATCTCTATCACCTTCGCAATTTTTCTGTAAATCTAAAACTGCTCACAAAGAGACACGAGGCCCTAGCAATCTTTTCAAGCCCGTTGCTGGGGGTACAGGTCAGTGGGATTCACTGAGGCTCTATCACTCCCACCCCCGGCACATCCCCTATTGTCTTAAGCCCCCAAGTTTGCGGTGATTTGTTACAGCAGCCCCAGGAAACTAAGACAGGGCCCTTTGCAGGGGTAAACCGGGGGCCGCCAAGTTCCCAGCACCCAGCAGAGCGGGCCTTGGGCCTGTGCACTGCTCCAGCAGAGCCGCCTCCTGGCAGCTCCCAGGCCTGCAGGGTGGGAGGAGGAGATTCCTGTCCTGGGGGAATGGGGGGGGGGGCGGTCCTCAAGATTTTGTCCCTTGGGCCAAAGGCTGATTTCTCTAAGAAATAAAGAGCTCTTTGCTCTTTCAAATTGGTAAACAAACAAACAAACAAAAAACCCAAGACAAAAAAAGGCAAAGAAACAACCAGCTCGTGGAGAAGGAAACAAATAACTTAAAAATATGACAGGTGCTGACTGCGCTCAAATTGGAGAAAGGTGGTTTTCCCCTCTGGTGAGGGGCTGTTTGTCTGGATGGGGGCAGTAACCCAACTGCGTGATGAGATGAGGGGAGGCCGAGGGTGGCACCTCTTTGTGGGTGAATTGGCAAACGCCTAGGAATGTGTGCTGTGCCCCCAACACGTGAGCACAGACTTGTGGGCCAGTAAGGCCACTGCCCACTGCTGGTCGCAGTGAAGGTCTGAAGGTCTGGTGGGGAGCTGTAGGTGGGTGAGAAGAGGGGAGAGGTGACCTAAGCCCTCATGTGAGAATGCCTCCCAGCCCATTACTAATGGGCGAACTGACCTGGACCTGTGTGGGATGCTGTCTGGAGCTAAAGAGCAGAAGCAGACCAGGTGTTTTACTGTGTGCTGTCCACAGTAATGGGGACTCGCGGACAAGTGAGGGGCCGAGGGCAGGTGGGGCCTGACTTGTGAAGTATAGACTCCCCTGCAGTCGGCACTTCTCCTCCCCGCACTTACCTATCCACTGATAACAGAGAGAGGACAGGACACACCCTGCTCCCCCTACCCCCGGAGTGCCCTTCCCTGGTCAGACCCCTCCCACTGAACTCAGGGATCCCATCTATACTCCCTGCTGGCCCCCAACCCCTGCAACTGCCACATGATTCTGGATTCATGCACCCCCACCCCAGGGAGGTCCCACCTCACTGAATGGGGCCTCCCACTGCCCTGCACAGTGTCCAAGCTCAGAACGGGCACCAGGCCCCCTTGTGCCACCAATGTGGGGACACCCTGGCCAGGACTTCTCTGTACCCAGCCCCCTAGGTCGGGACCAAGAACAAGGGCTCCTTGGGCATCATTTCACCTCTCAGAGTCTGGAGCTCCTCATCTGTCAGTGACTGATAGTGACTGACAGCCCATGTGGACAAGGATGAGGCCTGGAATGTGGCAGGATGGCCTCAACTGGTGCATGCCCTCCACCGTGCCAGAGCCGCCTGCCCCGGGTCTGCAGGAGGTTCTGGCTTCCTTTGGTCCCGGCCTGCAGCACGGGCTCTCTCCCTCTCTCCAGGGCACAGGCCCGGGCTCTGCACCTCTGGACCAAGAGGGTTTCATAACATTCTTTTGTTTCTTTTGTACCTTGTTTCTTCCACTGTTGCTAGTAATACCAAGTTTCTTTCTTGTTAAAACAATTTTCATATATTTATTAGCTGACCAGTTATTTAAGAAATCTTCTAGATTATAACCTACATTAGGAAACACATTTTGCATCACAGGTTCACTTACACTCACACACACTCATGCCTGAATGTCCTAACTAGAACAAAAATTTCAGCAAGTAGCTGATAGCCCTTTTAGCCGCAATGTGCTCTGCCTTCTTCCCCACCCCACCCCCGCCCCAGTTCGATTTCAGTAAAGCTGATCATAACCACCTAAACTGATTGCATGAATCTGGGTCTCAATCAGCAGGCCGAAGGAACACTGTGTCCCAGGCTGTGGTTTGAGAGGAGCTCTTCATATCCTTCTATATCTTCATGTCTTGGATATTTTATATTACATATGAATATATGGGTATACACACAAACACATATGCCTGCATTTGAAGCTCTAACCTCAGAGTTAAATACAAATTTCCTTTTGAGGCAGTAACACAAAATATCCTTTAGATGAATTAAGTTAGAAAACCGTGGGACCGGCCCTGTGGAGTGGTTAAGTTCACACCCTCTGCGTGGGCAGCCGAGGGTTTCATGGGTTTGGATCCTGGGCGCGGACATGGCACTGCTCATCCAGGCCATGCTGAGGCTGCATCCCACATGCCACAACTAGATGGACCCACAACTAAAAATATGCAACTATGTACTGGGGGGCTTTGGAGAGAAAAAGGAAAAATAAAATCTTTAAAAAAAAGAAAGAAAGAAAACCGAAGGGTGAAGTGAATCCTAGAACCGGGGGTGCAGCCAGCAGAACGGGGGGAGGAGGTCCCCAGGATCTCAGAGGAACCGGTCCCAGGAGTCACCCTGGGTCCCTCATCACAGCAAAAGGATTGCTCTCTGGGGTCAGAAGTGCCCTGTGTTCTCTGAGGCTCAGGTATGCGAAGAGGAGAAACGAAGTCACAGCCTGGCCCTGGGGACGAGGGTGAGATCAGGGTGCCACTTGCTCAGGGTGACACTTTTGCTCCTTAATAAGCAATTGCACACCTGGCCAGGACTTCCAGGAAGATGCGAAACCAAGACAGTACTTCATAGGCATCATTTGGCAGGGAACAAATACTTTTGGTTTTGCTCCAAACCCACACTTGGACTTCTCAAAATGTAAGACACTCACAAGGTCAAAGATGTACTTATATAAAATAGTATTGGGAGGATGGAACATTAGATTAGGCCAGTTGTAAATGTTTGCTCCTAAAAAAACAATCTTTGACTCATACAACTCAATATCAAATAAAACAAAGAATCTGATTAAAAAATGGGCAGAGAATCTGAATAGATATTTTTCCAAAGAAGACATACAGATGGCCAATAGGCACATGAAAAGATGCTCAGTATCACTAATCATCAGGGAAATGCAAATCAAAATCACAAGACGGGGCTGGCCCTGTGGCCAAGTGGTTAAGTTTGTGCCTTCTGCTTTGGCAGCCCAGTTTTGCTGGTTCGGATCCTGGGTGCGGACATGGCACCGCTCATCAGGCCATGCTGAGGTGGCATCCCACATAGCACAACCAGAGGCACTTACAACTAGAATACACAACTATGTACCAGGGAGCTTTGGGGAGAAGAAGAAGAAGAAAAAAAGAAGATTGGCAACAGATGTTAGTGCAGGTGCCAATGTTTAAAAAAAATTCACAAGGAGATGCCACCTCACATCTGTCAGAATGGCTATTATCAAAAAGATGAGAAACAGCAAGCGTCAGTGAGGATGCGGAGAAAAGGGAACCCTTGTGCACTGTTGGTGGGAATGTAAATTGGGGCAGCCACTATGGAAAACAGTATGAAGTTTCCTCAAGAAATTAAGAATAGAACTACCATATGACCCAGCTATCCCACTTCTGGGTATTTATCTGAAGGAAATGAAAATACTAACTTGAAAAAATATATACACACCTCTATGTTCACCGCAGTATTATTCACAATAGGAAGACATGGAAACAACCTAAGTGCCTGTCAATGGATGAATGGATAAAGAAGATGTGGTAATAAATACAATGGAATACTAGTCAGCCATAAAACAGATGAAATCTTGACATTTGTGACAACATGGATGGACCTAGAGGGCACTATGCTAAGTGAAATAAGTCAGAGAAAGACAAATGCCATGTGATCTTACTTATATGTGGAATCTAAAAAAAATAAAACCAAGAAAGTGAACTCATAAATACAGAGAACAGATGGGTGTTTGCCAGAGGTGGAAGGTGGGGGTGGGTGAAATGGGTCAAAAGGTACAAACTTCCAGTTATAAAATAAATAAGTCTTGGGCATGCAATGTACAGCATGATGACTATACTTAATAAGACTGTATTGCATATTTGAAAGTTGCTAAGAGAGTATATCTTCTTCTTCTTATTTTTTTAAGATTTTATTTTTTCCTTTTTCTCCCCCAAACCCCCCAGTACATAGTTATATATTTTTTAGTTGTGGGTCCTTCTAGTTGTGGCATGTGGGACGCCACCTCAGCGTGGCCTGATGCGCAGTGCCATGTACATGCCCAGGATCTGAACCAGCGAAAACCCTGGGCTGCCAAAGCGGAGCGCGTGAACTTAACCACTCGGCCACAGGGCTGGCCCCAACTAAGAGAGTAGATCTTAAAAGTTCTCCCCATGAGAAATATCTGTGTGTGGTGATAGGTGTTAACTAGACTTATTGTGATGATCACTTTCTGATATATACAAACATTAAATCATTATGTTGTACACCTGAAATTAACGTTATATGTCAATTATATCTCAAGTGAAAAAGAGACAATCTCTGGAAAAAGATGGGGGAGAGCTCAGAGCTCTGACCCTCAGCATCCCCCCCAGGGTCCCCAGCGATATGGACATCCTGCTGCCATGCCTCAGTCTTGGCTCCTTTGTTGGAATCTCTGACCTCCCGAGACTGTGTCTTCTGCATGACCACCAGGATCTCATGGACCCAAAGACACACATCCACACTCTGCGTGCGGGCGACACTGGCTCTCCAAGGGTCTCTGTGTTCAGCTGGGGAGCCCAACTCTCGGTCCAGCACTCTAGACGCCTCTTCTCCCTAGGGAGACCTGCACTCGCTCTCAGTGCTCTGGCTTCCTTCTGTAGCTGGTGAACATCCCATGACCAGTGGTGGCTTTCTGCCTACACGTTATGTCTGTCAATATTTACGTGGACGATGCCCTGGCAGCCACTCTACTGAGCACACTGCCCTGTGGCTCTCTCTCCAGAGGAGAATCTGTTTTAAAATTCAAATGCACATTCCTCAATTCAGAGTGGAAGCTGAGCCACCTCTGAAGTGAGCCACCTGCATGGTCTCAGGTGGTGAAGAGAGAACAGGTGCCTACGCGGAACGATGGTGGGGACAGGATTGCTGTGAGGGGCTGGGGGGTCTGGGATTGTTCCTTCAAAATACCATCAGCACAAGAAAAGAACAATTTGTAACTGTGTATGATGATAGACCTTAACTAGACTTATTTGGCGACCATTTTGCAATACACACAAATACTGAATTATTATGTTGTACACCTGAAATTAATATAATGCTATATGTCAATTATATCAATAAAAAATGCAAAACAAACAAAAAAACCAAAAACTCTTCAGGTAAGAGAGAGAGAATATACACTGAGACAGTGGCCAAACCATACACGACGCTGGAACTCTGACCCACCACCTGTGCAGCCACCAGCCAGGGAGGCAAGCCACAACCCCTGAGGCAATCAACCCCAAACAGCTAGGACTTGGTCAGTGACTGCAGCCTCCCTAATTTCGGCTCCTGCTTCCAACTTAGGACCGAGAGAAAGCCAAATATGCCCTCCTGACCAGCGACACAGGACACCTGCTTCTCGTCAGCTGCCCCAGCTTCCACATGCCAACAGCCTCTGGTGGGCACACCTGCGCCTTCACTTCTCCTCTCCCCTGCCTGCCTTTGATTCTCTGCCAAACGCAGTGATGGCAACTGCCCGCTTGCTCTAGCACACTCTGAATAAGCAGGCTCTATTGTTCTCATTTGGGGGGTCTTCCTCTATTTCCACAGGTAACTGAAGGAATGGGTAGAAGAGGCAGCTCTCTCTTATGGTAGAATTTCAACCAATAAACGTACAAGAAATGATGGACACAAAGTCATCGTTAGGCAAATGCCAGAATCCACTGCTGCCATCAAGAACCACAGGTGGATGGACGCTAAGATGAAGGAGTGAAAACATGACAAGAAACAGGGTATCCAGTGGTCTCTGAGCATCTCCCCACAAAACACTTAATAATTTCTCTGGGCAGAGAAACCTGGCAGACCTCACCTTGACCCAAGTGATCAAGGTCAGCACCAGTGATGGCTCGTACCCCCAACCTGATACACCAGGAAACACACAACATCACT